TCCCTAATACCGGCGCCGAACCTGAGGAAACTACTGATTCTGACTGCACAGTGGATCAGTGCACATCAGGTCAAAGTCTAGAAAAAACAACTTTACAAGAAGTATTCAATAAGGAGTGATAGCAAAACTCTGTGAAATAGATCAGGAAATGTATTGCTTTACATATCAAATAGTAGTAATTATTCTGACAATGTGATTATAGATTTGAGAATTCAGCTATAATAGTTGTACTTATTCACAGAGCAGATAAGGAGAAATAAGACTTAAAAAAATACACACCTAAAATAATACTACAACCCCATGTGTTTCAGAACATGTTGAAAGAGGTTAGGGCTAGAGTGCGAAGTACAGGATCTAATATATTTTTGTTAGAGGTATTTTAGTAATATTTAACCCTTTTGTGATTAGCTTATTGTAACCATTGTTGCAAAATGTGCTGTCAAAATTTCAGTTTGATAGTGATAAATCTTGCAGCTCTAATTTAATCTATTGCAACTGGTCATTTGGATCAGCCTTCACAAGCCTCACTACTTCATATCAAAGCTGTTCCTTTCTTAGACCACTTGACTATGACCATTGCCATCCAGGAACACACTTCAAGTCCTGCAGATTCTATGACTTTTTGCCACTGTTGGGCAAGTTACTTTAAAACTGTAATGCGTTATTTATTACTTATTACTGTCATTTCAAAGTAATTCGTTACATTACAATATTACTGCATTTAAAATGTAAGGCATTACATTACTATTGCATTACTTATGTTACTCTCACCAAAATAACTGCGAAAAAGCTGAACTTTTGAGCCGTATATGGACTGAACCAGGACTAAACAAGGTCTAAACCAGGACTAAACCAGAGCTGAACCAGGACTAAACCAGGACTATAACAGGACTAACCTCAGACTGATTCCAGGACTGAAGAGGAGGACTAAACCAGAACTGAACTAGGACTAAAACAGGACTCACTGTCAGGATGGGCTCGAAGGTGACCGCAGGAGAAAGGACCGGCTTTGCTCCGCACCTCATGGAGGTAAGAGCGGCTGTCGCCCGATCGCTCTTTATGGACCCTGCTGCTCAGGCTCACGGTCCTGATTTCAGCAACTATTTGCGGGTACAAGACCCGGTGCAAGACTCTGCTACAGCGCGTAACTTCTACCTTCCTTCAACGTGTCCAGAAGTCCAACTTTTTGTGCGATGGTTTGCATCGTCCTCTGTCTTTTGGGTGTGAGCGCAGGAGACTTTGTCGGTGCAGAACGTTTCGTCGACGTTGTGGATTTTGTCGGAGAGAAAACTTGCAGACATACAGCACTTCAGAAGCACACTGCTAGAGATTGAACATTTATTTAAATTTGGCAGCTGAACACATTCTGTACTGTACTGTTCAGGAGACAGGAGTCCCTTAGCCGATCAGGACACAGCGGGAGGAACGCAATACGTGTTCATACACTAAAAACAAAAGGCATGCAAAATTGCACAAAAAAAAAATTCTAAAAATCAGCGAAACAGCGAGACCGCGAAAAGTGAATCGCGTTAGAGCGAGGGACGACTGTAAGCCAGGTCTAAACCAGAACTGACCCGGTCTAAACCAGGTCTAAACAGCGTAGAGTTCTGGGGTCGGTCCTTTCGCCCGCGGTTAACTGAAGGTCTATCCGGCCGCGTCTCCGGCGTTTCACCGCTGCTGATTTCACGGTGATTTTAGCGAATTTCTATGAAGAAAAACCCACCACTTCAATCCAGGTTAAAAAAAGCATTGTAACGCGCGTTACTCACATTTGTACCGAGTAAAATATTACAATTTTTCCCCCTGTAATGCCTTACATTACTGCGTTACAGCAAAAATCAATGCATTACTGTAATACATTACTTTTATAATACATTACTCCCAACACTGCTTTTTGCCCATGTCTATCCACTTGTCAAATGTGTCTAAATGTTTGCTTGTTTATTTTTATCCTCTCTTCAAACAAACATAAAAATGGTAACAAACAAGAAAGAAAATCAGTTATTAGCTGTACCTGTGCGCGTTCTGACTGTATTAGAGGCTGAAAAATTACTGCTAGATAAGAACGAAGAAAGAATTGACTTTTAGCGTACAAATCAAACATCCAAGCCCTTGTTGATTTACACCATTGATTGAGGGGCGGCTTGCAATTTCAAATCTGGACAATTACAGGCCTCGAGAAAATGGGAGCAAATTCCACATTCGACTAAACACACCTTGAAGACAGTAAAAACAATCAGAGTGAATAGGGATTGCAGCCTGTTGTGAATGTTCAAACACAATGTGCAAGCAAAACACTGTCAGACATGACAAAAGGGTGGGCGATATTGACAGAAATGAATAAATATCTATATTTTCATCTGATTGTTTTACTGCAATCCAACAGCAATGCATGAAAACATTCCGATAAATGACTTGGTTGAGGTCAAGTTATGCACAAAGTGAATGGAGTGCAAAATCGATTTTTCTGAGCTTTCAACTATTGTTTCCCTTTCTTATTTCTTATCTATACACGTTTGAGTAATTTTTATTCTAAAGAACAGAAAAAAAAGAGTGTGCAATTTTGCATATTTTGATTTTAGATACTTCCTCCATCTTTATGTGAAAACAAAACAAACTTAACAATTTGACTTTTTTTTTTGCACAGTTTCTACAAATGCTACACCAAATCCATTCTCTGATGCACCTGAAGGACGAAGGGGGGAGCTGGTTATTTGCTTGGTGCAGTTTCCGGACCTCTAACCTGTAAATATCATTTTGCGCCCCTCCTCTCTCCATCGCTCCCAGTGAGGTGCCCTGGCTCAGAGCACATAACCCCTATTTCCCAGTGGAGCACAGTGGCCACTGGTGCACTCCTCTGAGGGCTGAATGTAAAGCAGCAGCACCAGAAATAACATTTGAGCTGTCAGCACGCTGCCTGCAGAAACATATACTTGTCAAATAATGGAGAAATGACCATATTTATATTATCGCTAATGGCAAAATAAGAGGAAGGGGGGCTCTAATGCAGGGCTGTGAAAGGAATAATGCTATATTGAATTTGGGACAACATGTCACAGTGAAGCTTATTTTGATGTTTATTGTATGAATATTTTGTTGGATAAACGTTATGGAGGTGAATTAGATGGAAAAAAGACATATGATTGTATATTATTGTTTTAGTTTAGTTGTAGGGCAAGATAATATAGAAGGATCCAGTGTAAAAAAAAAAAAAAAAAAAAACATGGGGTAAATACAAACAAAATAGTAAAAATTTATTAACAAAATGTACAAAATAAGAAATTATTTACAATTGTTTTTGGGACATCAAATATAGATAATTAAAGCATGATTTGTCCATATATATATACATATATATATAGAAGCAATGCATTGTTCTGTTCTGAACAGATTCATAAAAGTAGAAAAGTTAAATTACTCTGAAAAATCAATGCACTCTTTTGTAATATTGTGCGCCTCTGATTTGTGAGATAGCCATACATTAATTACTGTCAGGTAAAGAGTGGTAAACAAACCTCACAATTGAAATAGTAATCACTGTTTACATACCTGTTTATCTCAGCCAACATTGACACATGAATTGCATATTTTATGTGAGATAAAATTGCCTTTCCTTCCCCATTTCAGCTATAACCAACTTTCAAGTGCCTGAGAGTGCTGGCTTGCCCGTTCGTGATGCCAGAATTTCGCAACCAAATTTTGACATCAATTTGTCACTTTTTGGGGAAAAACACTTCACACTCAAAGTTTACAGCTCAATTACACATAGGCAAAACTCAGGGAACTGGGAGCGTATTTACAAGCATAAAAGTGCACATAATGAATCATCCATTAGAGCTTGCATCTGCACGTTAACTTTGGTCTGCCAGCACTATCCATCTGTCCAATTTGTCGAGGTGCACGATGGCAGTGGAGGAATTACAGGAGGAGCCAAGCCCGGAGCACTTAGTTGGCATAAAAAGCATGTATATTATCAATAATGGAAGAGGCAATTTAAACAACAACTCTGGCTATGTTTTCACAGGCACGTCTGCTCCACTGCTAATACCTTATGTTAATCCGAATGCAAGAGTATGCAGAAGAGAGGCGTTTAGGCTGCTTTATAGAGCGAAAGCCGCATGTTGACACTGTTATTGGATCTTTATTTGTTTCTGGAGGTGGACTGTGTAGGAGGGATTTATATGCCTCCTGGTGTTTATGATACTTACTGCGAACAACTGTTTGTTTTGTTTAAGTGACACTTTATGTTTACACAGGGATAAAGGCCATCCACAAATGTCACTAAATTGGCACTTACTGTCCACACTGTAATCTTGAGGCGTAAACATTCACTTAAAATCAGGCCCTGGACAGCAAACATGGCTTACTGCACTAGAGCCACATGATTTGAAGAGATAAAAGAAGCATTATGCAAAAACATGGGATTAACAGGCAAATCATTTTATAAAACAGGTTTCAGATTCCAGTTTGTTGATGACATTTTGAGGACTTCTGACCATTCAAAAGCTATGATATGCTTTACGACGGTATTGAGAACATGATCACACAGAAGTCCCCTATATTCATCCTATTTCAATATTTTACTCATAACTTAGAATGAAGGGGGAAAACTATTTAGTAAAACCCCATGTGCTCAAAGTTTTATTAATGAGATCTGCATGATTTGGGAAACGTGTGATGTGTGATAACTGTTGAATATTGAGTATAAATTGGCAGGCTTTCTAGCATTGGAAATGCAAAGCTCGGTACTTCCACCACTTACACAGGAAGGTGCCAATTTGTTTGAATTACCGGCTAATTGGGTAGTTCTTTTGATGTGCAAATGTGAATAATGGGCACATAGAAAACCACAACATTGAAACACAAGCAACTCTTTGGCATATGGGTATTCGGTAGACTGATACAAATTAGTGCAAATTAATCTACATCTAAAGAGAAAAGACATTTATCACAACTGTACACACAACTGTATTGTGCCTTGTTCACGTACACACACCCACCTGAATATGACCAGTAGGGGTCACTAGTCGATCTCCTCTGCCTCCAAACGTGCTCATGATCTTCGTCAGCTGCACTACTCGGCCGGCCTCCTGATGCAACTGTGGACAGCAGAAAGACACAGTTATAAGCAGCTCAGACGAGAGGAGAGCTGTTAGCAGGAAAAAATTCAAATTTCCAGATCTGTAAAACTGACTGGCAGCATGTTGTTAAAATAGTTCATCTGCAAACCAAAAGGCTACACTTGTTCAACTAAACATTCATTTTGTGACTGGGCGCTCCCAAATGGCACTTGTGGCAGTAGCTCTCAGCGGTGCCTTTAAGCCCTATAATTCACCAAGATTAACTTTTGTCCTTTGCAGCATCTCACCTATTTGTCACACAGTTTGCCTATCCTTCGGTGGTGGAACTGGCTGCTGCTGTTTAGAGTCTAGAGGCCATAGCTCCGGAGTAGACTTGTTATCTGACACATATGATGGAAGAAATGGGCGGTAATGATAGCGCCTACAGGGATCAGCTCAAAACTCAGAGAAAGTCTTTGTGCTGGCTTCTCCTCTCACTACGGTTACCATCAGTCAAGTATTTTGCAGAAGCAGCAGCTGGTCAGTAGCAAAAAACAAATGTACATGGACTGACTGGCAAGTATCTTTGTGAACAAGCCAGAAATAATAAGAAAAATACACAGAAAAATATAAAAATCTTGTCTGTCATAAGCTTGTGGGTGAAATTTGGATAGGACACCAGTGTTGGCAAAGTAAAGCAATATGAAAAACTGGGATTTGGATAAACAGTGGACATGGCCATGTGGCTAAATGGAAAATATTTGTACAATTTAACTAGGCCAGTCCTAGTCCCAGACCTTAACAATTACTTATTTGTAGTGTATATCAGCCTTGTTCAAGCATTCTATGACAACTATATACATTCATAAGAACTAACTACAAATATACAAATGAATTATTTTTACAATTACTTTTCACTGGTTTTGACTTGGATGGCATTTGTTGGTTGAATATCCCCAATTATCCAAGATTTTCATGCAGTAGTTGGCAAACATTCTTTAAAAAGGGAGAGAAGAGAAAAATATGTATGAAAATTATATAAAGAGCTTTCCAGATAATTATCTGGCTCTGAAAGAGAAACTAATTTGAATATTATAAACTATAGAACATAAATATGCTGAAATGCAGTCACCCCTTATTTTTACTTAGAACTGTTGGAGCCAATTCTACCAATTTTAGCAACTATAAGACTAATATAGACACGAAGACACAAAGGCATAACAACTCAACGCTAAATCACTTAACACATGGAGCTCCTCGGACAAACTAAATATAGACAACCCAAGGATCAAACGCAACTTCCTGCTTTGACAACATTCAACCTAAATATGTTCGTGTCTAATTATTTTAACACTGTATTCCATTTGTACTGTTTTGTAGGTCTAAGCAGAAAAAAAACATTCATTTTGTTAAGGCACTTATTTTCATTTATAAGACGACCTGCACAAAAGGGTTTAGCATCAGCATACACCTCCACAGAACAGAGCTTTGGCTAAAATTGCGCTTCTTAATGCGACTATTGCCCAGTGCACATCCCCCAAGCTCCCGCCGAGACAATGCAGTGCAGCCCCTGAGGCAAAGGCACGCGTCTTTTTACAGTGCAAATACAAAAAAGAATCTTTCAGGGAAACGTGGTGAATGCTGGAGGTGCACATTCGCCGCAAGCACAGTCCCCGGAGCACATGTAGGCAGACATTTATAATTCAAACCATTGATAAAGCACTGCGTGTACCAGCCAGGGAAATCGTCAAGCTTCACTCAGGTCTACCAGAGAAGAGAACAGTCAAACCCAGTGAGCCATTCAAACCCCCAATATGTATCAGTTAATGCCTGCTTCCTGCTGCCAGAGACGACAAACAAATGAACAGGCCGATCGGGGGAGAAGCCAATCAGAAACTAAGCGCATCCTGTGCCAAAACTCCTAAAAGGAAATCCCTCCGACCTCCTGGAAACACGGGTTTTATTGAAGAAGTAAAACTATCACTATTTCTAAAATAAAAAAAAGTTATTAAAAAGTAGAAGTAAAAATAGTTTAGAAATCGAGTAGTAAAATGTGCCAATATAGTGCATTAGGGTTAACTTCCCAACCTCTACTTTGGAAATGCTTCCGTTTTCCCACTACTCCATTTGGTACAACAGCTAGTTCTAGTCTAATTCTAAAAGTTCTAAAACTACAAGTTAATTCAATTTAACAACCATTACTACAACTATTACAATCTGTAGAGGTGAGAGATGTAGCATATCTCTTTATCAAAAGCATATCAAAAGACTGATTATTTGAATAACAAAGTTGTTTGAGATATGTAAAATGAGCATTTAGAGTTTATCGTCTTTTACTCTTAATAGTTGTAGATACAGACGGAAAAGAAAAAAAGACACCAACTTAATATCCTACACACAGGCACAACGCAATGTTTCTGGCCTCTCTCTTTTCATGTTTTGAGCTACACTTGAACCTCAACCAAGATATTTACAGGATTTTAGCACATTCCTGATGCACTGTTTGAATATCATTATCGAGATGAGAAAAAAATATTGACATATTCATTATTAGTCAATATTGCCCACCCCTGACCATATGACTATTACACTAACAGGGGTACATCTGTTACATATTTGGCTTTTGTTGTTTAAAAAAAAAAAAAAAAAAGAAAGAAAGAAAAGACATTCATAAAGAACAAATCCTTCATAACTTTTAATAAATGCTTATGTAATAGATGTACTTTATGGTAACAGATCAGGTTTCAGTCAGGTGTACAAGTCAAAGCCTGTGTGCCAAACTTGCATTGGTTAATATTGGCTTCCTGTTGCCAAAACCAGTGACTACAAACAAATGAACAGAAGAAATGCAAACAGCAGTGACTGGATCATGAGCCAAACTCCAAATAAAAACCCCTCTCACCTCCTACAACACGCTTTTTGATTTGGGATTCTGTTTAGTTCACGCGGCCCTGAAATAACAACTGGGTACGGACTCCTCTCGCAGCTGTCGGTACATTAGTGCGCTGTGGTTTCTGCAGCTTGGCACAGCACGGAACCACGCACCAAAACGCTCGCAAAAAACTACTAAAACACTTCACGCCTCGATATCAATCAATTCTCTTTCTCCAGAGCGAGGAGCTGGAGTGCACAGCGGAGATGTATAGGAGGAGGTAGGAACGGCACATTTTTAGCACCCTAGTGGAAATAATGCCTACTTTCTATACGTGCTTTGGTACGTGTTTGTGTAACGGAGAAAAGACTCCCTTAAATACTACAGAGATGTATAAAGTTCACACATTTAATATTAACATATTCTCACATCAAAACGCCTATTGTATTAGAGCCGCAAAATGGGTGCTAGAATTGGATACAAAAATGTAGTGTAAGTACATATGGTTAGTGAGCGGCTGCACAATATGAAGTAAAAACAGTATTTACCATCATGATGATACATTTTAAAATATACTTACACAATTAGTTAAATTAAAAGTACATGTACATGATTAAAGCAAGACCAAAACAACGACAAATCTAGACTTCCTAAGGAATATGGAGAGAAATCGATCACACTTGGTGTTATAGCAATATTTAGTATCTTGCAATATTGATTATTGATTTGGCCAATATTACAATATGGATTTAAAAACATCAAATTTTTTCTTCTTGACATTCATATTCAAAATTTCAAACATTCAAAATTACAGGCTGACCAAAATTTCAACTCCAAAAACCTAAAAGTATTAACACTGAAATGCTTCTGCTTATCCTTATATGCACCGCAATGTCTATTCCCACACTGGCTCCGTACACCCAAAATCAAAAGAACACAGAAAAAGCCAGTTTACATGCACACTGCTACACACTGAACCTTGCAATAGAAGTTTAAGGGCTATTTGTCTCGTCACCTTCCTGTTTTATGCAAAGCAAATTGTTCCAGCTTACTTTCTCACCAAGTCCCCGAGTTGTTTTTGTGGGCGCGAGAGAAAAGAGCAGCTAAGGCTGTAACTATTGTAGCAGGTAAGCCAATTGCCTGTATGACTCAAGCTAATTTAGCAATACCAAGTTTCACTTCAGCCTCACCAAATGCCTAAGTGAATCTACAAATTACTTCCAAGCAGATAATGTTGAAACAGAGACTTGAGAGCCAAACAAAGCAAAATAATGTTATCTACTCTTCATTTTTTAGTTAACTTAATGCAAGTTTGTAAGCAACTCTTGCCTTAAAATTGTACATTCAAAATATATCAAACATGTATTAAAACTAAACGCTGTTCTGAATGTTATCCAAGCCTTCTTTGGTGCATGTACCATTTCTGTTCGCTGTAAGTAGTTTGAAATGCCCCATACGCCACACACTGGTCTCTCAGGGGTAGATAAGCTCCTAGACATAAGGCATTCAAAGCCATCTGACAATTTGCCTCTCGGTTGGAACTGATTCTTGATTCCCAAATCTAAACATGTCTTCCCTCCTGATGACACCGTAACCATGACAACGGGTGCATGTCACACTCGTTTGCGAAGTCATAAGGCGTAGCGAGAAAAGGTTAAGTTCAGCTCCGGAGGGGGGGATCCTGGGAGCCTGAAGTCACCGTCTGCAGACAGAACGGTAGCATACAGACATTTAGTACAAGCACAGGCCGCTCTTACTAGTAGTTGCATCATTATGGCAGATTAATTAAACTAAGCACTACATCAGACCACATCAAGGCCATGTGCACTTAAGGCAGAGACTAGCCCAAAATGCTCTCGATTACAAGGCAGAGAGGGGGGGGATTTTTAGAGCCAACGGCTGCATACAGGTAGGTACTATAAATTGGTTAGTACCCAGGTGAGCAGCACCTTCAACACTTGAGTGAATAAAATCACTCACAGCCATAATCAGTGAGAAATATCAAATGCCAGACTTGAAGTTTAGATATTTACCTCCAGAAATAAATATGCCAGTTATCAGCAAGAGAACAACTTTATTGGTTTAATGTCTTTTTGCAAAAAAAAACCCAAAAAAACAATAGGCGTTTATGATTATTTCCATCCATTAAAGCTTGGGATATATAGTG